GAGAGAGACTGCGCGTGTGTGTGAGAGAGAGAGAGAGACTGCGCGTGTGTGTGAGTAAGAGAGAGAGTGAGACTGTGCGGTGTGTGTGTGTGAGAGAGAGAAAGAGAAAGAGTGAGTGTGTGAGAGCACGTGTGGGTGTGTGTCTCTCTAACTGCGTGTCTCTGAGTTTGTGCCTGTATGTCTGTGTCTGTGTGTTTGAGAGTGAGTGCGTGTATGTACGTGTGTATGTCTGTCAGCATACATGTGAGTGTATGTATGTGTGTGTCTGTGAGAATGTGCATGTGTGTCTGTGTTTGTATGTATTTGTGATTGTGAGTGTGTGCCTGTATGTCTGTTTATGTGGCTGTGTATGTACTTGTATGTTGGGTGTTAGTTGATCTATATTTCTGTTTGCTGACTGCTTTGTGCCCTGCTAACATTTCACTTCTAGACAGTTGCCCTGTTGAGAAATGAATGACCTTTGCACTGACAGAGATGTAAACAAGGCTCTTTGATGAAAACAGCATAAAGTTTTGTTCTAATTGGCTGCCCATCCATCTCCAGGCGTGATAGCTCTTGCCGAGAGGAGCCTGCAGACCAAACTTGCTCAATCTCAGTCAGGTTACAGTTTAGATTGCTGGTTAGTTATAGATTCAGCCCTTGATCCCACTTTGTAAATGCTGTGTGAACACAAACCACACGGAACACAGCTTCTAAACGTTTGGTAAAAGGGCAAAGTTCACAACAGAAAGCAGTGCGACAGGACAGGAGAAAGGAATAACATGCAGAGTTACAGCTTCACACTCACACACACTCATGCATACACCGTCACACACACTTGCACACACTCTCGTACCCACATCATTACTCACGTACGCACCTGTGTGCGCACACAAACACACATTCACAGAGAGACACACAAACACACATACACACAGAGTGATTTTAACTTCCCCAATATTAACGGGAAGTGCCAGGGGCTTAGATGGGGCGGAATTTGTTCGGTACATCCAAGAGGCTTCCTTGAAACGTTATGTAGGTAGCCCACCTATGGAAGGAGCCATATTAAACCTTGTATTGGGGAATGAGTCTGGCCAAGTGATCAAATTTTCAGTGGGGGAGCATTTTAGGAATAGTGATCATAATTCTGAAAGTTTTTAAGATAAGGATAAGACTGGTCCTTGGATGAAAGTGCGACATTGGGGGAAGGCTAATTACAACAGTATTAGGCAGGAACTGGAGAAATTAGATTGGGGACAGCTGTTTGAGGGTAAATCCATATCTGACATGTGCAAGTCTTTTAAAGGCCAGTTGATCAGAGCTCAGGACCAGCATGTTCCTGTGGGGATGAAAGATAACAGTTTCAAGATTCAGAAACCCTGGTGTCAAGGGATAGTGAAAGCCTTTTCAAAAAGGAAAAGGAAGAACATGCCAGGTTGAGGAAACTTTCTCAAGGCCCTTGAGAAAAGTAGAAGGGACTTAAACAAGGAACTCAGAGGGCTAGAAATGTCCTTGGCAAGTAGGACTAAGGAGAATCCCAAGGCATTTCACATGTAAATTAGGAACAAGTTAGAGAAACAATAGGTCCACTCAGGATACGGGAAGTAACGGCCTAGTGGTATTATTGTTAAACTGTTAATCCAGAGACTCAGATAATGTTCCGGGGACCTGGGTTCGAATCCTACCACAGCAGATGGTGGAATTTGAATTCAATAAAAAATCTCTAGAATTAAGAATCTAAGGATGACCATGAATCCATTGTCGATTGTCGGAAAAACCCATCTGGTTCACTAATGTCCTTTGGGGAAGGAAACTGCCATCCTTACCTGGTCTGGGCCTACATGAGACTCCAGAACCACAGCAACGTGGTTGACTCTCGACTGCACTCTGGGCAATTAGGGACGGGCAATAAATGCTGCCTGGCCAGCGATACCCTCATCCTGTGAATGAATAAAGGAAAAAAAAGGGATAAAGGAGGAAATTTATGTGTGGAGCCAGGTGAAGTGAGCCAAGTCCTTTAATGAGTACTTCACATCACAATCCACCAAGAAGCACATGGGTGGTGGAGGGATTTGTTGATATTTTAAGGCATTATGATATTAGGAAGGTGGTGGCTATCTTGAAAAACATCAAGGTAGATAAGACTCCAGGGCCTAATGGGCTCCATCCCATAATAATAAGATTGCTGGGCCTTTACAGAGATCTTTATATCCTCTTTAGCAACAGGTGAGGTCCCAGAAAACTGGAAAATAGCCAGTGGTGTTTTTTTTTTAAATCTGAGAAGGGCAACAGGTATAATCCAGGAAATGAAAGGTCAGTGAACCTTATGTCAGTGGTTCAGAAATTATTAGAGAAGATTCTCAGGGATATGATTTCCTCACATTTAGAAAAGAATGAAGTTATTAGGGATTGTCAGTGTGGCTTTATACAGGGAAGGTCTTGACTCACAAACCTGTTTGAATTTTTTGAGAAAGTGGTGGAAGGTGATTGATAAGGGACGGGCAGTGGATGCCATCTACGTGGAGTTTACTAAAGCATTTGACACAATCCCTCAGGATAGGCTGGTCCAGAAGATGAAGTCACATGGGATCCACAGTGAGTCGGCAAGTTGGATACAAAATTGGCTTGATCACTGAAAGCAGGGAGTAGTTGTGGAAGGGTTTTTATGACTGAGGGTCTGTGACCAGTGATGTTCCACAAGGATCAGCGCTGGGACCTTGGTGGTTTGTACTTTATATAAACTATTTAGACGAAAATGTAGTAAGTTCACAGACGCCAAAAAAATTGGTGGAGTTGTGGAAAGTGAGGAAGATTATCAAAGGATATGGCAGGATATAAATCAGTTTGAGAGCCAGGTGGAAAAATGGCAGATGGAGTTCAATCCAAACAAGTGTGAAATGATGCGTTTTGGGAGGTCAAGTGCAACAGGAAAGCATATAGTAAAAGGGCCTGTTCCTGTGTTGTACTGTTTCTGTTTTCTCACACAGGCACAGATACATGCAAAGACACAGACAGTCAGACACTGCACACACACACACAGAAACACACAGGTACACGCATACACACACACACACACACAGGTACACGCACACGCACACACACACAGGTACACGCACACACAAACACACAGGTACACGTGCGTGCGCGCGCGCACACACACACACACACACACACAGGTACACGCACACACACAGATGATGCTGACTTGCCTCTTGTACACTTCACTCCTTTACCAGCAAACTCCTTCTGTAAGGCTGCAACAAACTTCTCCCTGATCTTCTCCTCCTGTGGAAACAACGGAGGAGAAGGTGAGAATGAATCAGTTCTTGTGTCCGGCCAGACCAGCTGTGAGCCAGGGACCGAGCGCTCCCGTTCCGAGTGAGGGTAATCAGGTGCTGAGTGTTGGAACAGTGAGTGCTGGAAACACAGACACAGTTCATGTTTCACTTCACTGACCCTTCATCAGGTACAGCTGGGGAACAGGTTTCAACCAGGAGACTTGGGTTTGGGGGGTGGGGGGGGGACACAGAATGAAAGGGCTGTGATAGGGCAGATAGTACAAGGTGCTTAAGTAACAGCTTTTCCTCTCTCAGTCAAGCTCACACCCTCCTACCCCCCCGAGAATAAAAATCTCTTGCAACCAGCTCCGTGGGGTTGGGGGCTGGGAGGGGGCTCACATCAATTGTTTACATCACACCAGACTCCCCAAAGCAACATCTTGTCTCACACCTCAGTCAGGGCAGGACGCTCCTGGTGTGTGCACGCGTGTGTGTGTGTGAGTGTGCACACGTGAATATCCACCAGCACGTCCCCACCCCCCACTAGCATCTGCTTATCACACATCGGACTATCAACAGTCTCTGAACCCATGGAACTGTTGGTGGGTGGGTGGGTGGGGCGGGGGCAGTGTTGGGGGAAGCCAGTCACCATTGACCCTGAGGGTCTGCTGAAGAAGGAGAAGGTGGGAAGCTGGAGAGATTAAAACGGAAAGAGGTCTTTATGGTGTTCGGGTCATCTGTCAAAGTTCCATTTCCTGCTTCTTTAAAACCCAAGATGGAATGGGTGGGGTGGGGAAGGGTTGGAAGGACTGATAATGCTGCTACCTCACTGAAGGGATAGCAGGCTTGAGAGTGCGAATGGCCTCCTCCTGTTTCTGATGTTGCAATGTGAAGCTATTCACTGGGGCATAGCATAGGAAAAGCCCTTCAGTGTCTGATGTTCATTGTTCCTTAGGACGTGGGTGTCGCTGGCTGGGCCCAGCATTTATTGCCTATCCCTAACTGCCCCCTTGAGAAGGTGGTGGTGGTGAGCTGCCACCTTGAACTGCTACAGCCCTCAGGGTGTAGGGTCGTCCACAGTGTCCTGCCCCCTACCCTCATGTGTGAGGATTCAGGAGGGCAGTGTGTGCTGAAAACTGTGTCCCCACCCCATGGATTACCTTGTCAATCCGAGAGAACTCGATGCGTTCCTCCAGGGTGCAGTTCCGGCCGATGGGTGACACATTCAGCATCCCATTCCGGAATTCAATAAAGGTCCCCCTGAAAGAGAGACATCCCGAGGGTGAGCTCCGAACCGGATCTGGCTATTCGACAACGAGCAGCCCAGGAACTGAGCTCTCCCTGCGGAGACTGAGGTGGAGCCGAGATACAGGAACCACCTTAGCATGTCAGCTTAACCACTCACCACCCCCCGTGGGCTATCAGCACCTAGAGAGGGGAGCAGAACAGGCAGGAAACCTCACAACCTTTAAAAAGTACCCAGATGGGCATCAGAACTTACATTCAAGTGTTGGAAAGTGGGACAGACTCGACAGGCCGAAGGACCTCATCTGCCTTGTTATGGCTCTAAATAACCAGGATCCAGGATAAAATTATGACTTCAATGATGTTGAAGGGACTGAGCATCATCAGTCTGATCTTGACAGAAGAAGCATTCCATTTGTATTTTGTTAAATCCTTTCATGGGATGGGTGTGTCATTGCTAAGGGGTGGGATTTATAGAGTCACGCAGCACGGAAACAGGCCCTTCAGCCCATTGTGTCATGCCAACCAGGTTTCCCAAACTGAACTAGTCCCACTTGCCTGCACTCGGTCCATATCCCTCTAAACCTTTCCTATCCATGTACCTGTACAAATGTATTTCCCTCTGGCAGCTCATTCCATACACGCACCACCCTCTGCGTGAAAAAGTTGCCCTTTAAGTCCCTTTTAAATCTTTCCCCCCTCACCTTAAACCTATGGCTTCTGATTCCAGTTTCAAAATCTCCCCACCCCCGGCCTCATCCCATGTCCAACCCTCCCTCTCATCCCCACCTCCTTGACCCGACACAGCCTGTCCCATCTTCTCTCCCACCTATCCACCCTCTGATGCTGCCTGGCCTGCTGCGTTCCTCCAGCTCCACATTGCATTACCCCTCTAGTTTTGGACTCCCTTGCCCCGGGGAAAAGACCTTGGTTATTCA